TGTACGTGTATGTTTGGGGGTCTGAAATGGACTAATCTACTTCACAATATTCCTTATGGGAAAAAATTCGGTCAGTACTGGCACCTGAACATACTACTGGAATGAAAAAAGTTCGTTAACCGGGGGTCCACTGTATTCCATTTTCTAAATAGGGTCCAGAATAAACAATGCAGGCATCCCTGGCACTAAACTAACATTTCCTCTGTTCATTAGTTATGTTTTCAGGCTTTACAAATGAATTCCATTTTGATTTTTTATTCACATTAAAAAATAGAAGATTTACTGTTATGCAGTATTGTAATAATTGTATAAATGATATCAGTGAATTCATGAACGTATGTCAAATCCACAGATGATGCATATTAGACTCGTGACGACATTTGTTTACTCTTGAACATCTGCAAAAACTGAACATTTTCGCTACTTTGAGCTCAGTTTCAAGCCATTTTTAGTACTAAAACCAATCAAAATCATCTCTATTTCTATAACATATCTTCCATTCTATCAAATCCGACCAAGAAATCGCGAATACAACTGTAAAAAACACTTGAAACAACACTGCAAAGTCACTGTTTTAATCCAAAATTAGGGTCAGTTTTTTTTTTCTCATTATGCACTGCATGCTGCAGGACTTGTTTTATGTGATGCACACTTACCACGTAGATGTGTTCTCTCATATCTAGGCCCAGATTTACCACTCACAGGTTATCTAAGTGAGCTGAACTCATGGCGTAGATCTACGGTTGGGACCCTGGCTTCAAAGCCGTAGATCTACGGCATGGACCCTGAAAGGGTTAATGGTCTTAATGTAGGGTGAGAGGTGAAAAGTATTTATTTGTAGAAAGTTGTGTGGGAGGTAGGGTAGGGTAGCCCGCCTGGCCACCCCACCTACTACGTAAACAAATGTACCGAGTGTCTGGTTATGGTTCATAAACATTCATACAAACACCGTACATTGTGTACAAGTTGTCTCCACAGTGGTACAGTAGAATAAATGAAGACCAGCACTTCCATTTTCATGTAATTTTTAGAAGGAATGATGCTCTGACAAATTATTATTATTACTATTATTATTATTATTATAAGTTGTTATTATAATCATCATAAAGAAGCACTAAACCCACAAGGGTCGTGAATAGCTATAAATAGAGTAAAGGCATACGACAGTGATAAACTTCTAGTTAAGTTACTGGTGTTTGACTAGAGAAAACGTAATTCTTCCAACTCTCTAACCAACTTCATGGTAAACAAATCTTATATTTATGTCAGTTTTTATACTTTGGGTGTATGTATCATGTTTATATGTTACATAGCATGTTTATTATATAATTTGGAAAAAATATCATAGATGGATTAATAGAAATGTCTATATTAGCATAATACAGTGGACCCCCACCTAACGATATTATTTCAATCCAGAAGTCTGTTTGGGTGCCGTTATAGACCGAATTTGTTCCCATAAGGAATATTGTGAATTAGATTAGTCCATTTCAGACCCCCAAAAATACGCCTACAAAAGCACTTACAAAAATACACTTACATAATTGGTCGAGTTGGGAACTGATCGTTAGGGGGGGGTCCACGTACAGTACAGGGGGACCCTCCCCAAAACCCATATTAATCCATTCCTGAGGCCAAACGTTAGGCAAAATTATCGTTAGCCAAATTAATTTTCCCCATAAGAAATGATGGAAATCAAATTAATCTGTTCCTGACATCCCAAAGAATGAAAAAAAAAAAATTTTCACCACATGAAATATTAATTTTAATATGCACAAATGAAGAAACTATGTAAAATTTACATGCCCTTTTCCTTTATGGAAGATCTGGTATGATTGTGGGAGGGGGAGGGGGGGAGTGGGGAGGGTTTTTAAATGTTTAAAAGGGGGAATCCCCTTCCATTAGGATTGGGTGTCAAGTCCTTTCCGGGGGTTACTTCCCTTCTTTTTTTAAATCCCCTAGGCCCAGTTTGAGAGTCATGGACCCCCTGCCACAACATATCTGTCCTAGAGGCCGAACCTCCCTTCCTTTATGCTTTTCCTAAAGTTTTTTCAAAACTTTGCATGTAATAGTCACCAGCACGGCTTGCAATGGGTGAGGGGTGATTTTCATCAAAAAAGGTTGCACTTTAAGCCCATTGCGAAATTTTCCTTAAATCTTTGAAGTAGGAAACCTTCCTCAATTTCTCTATCCCCCCTCCGAGCAGTTTCCTCAGGTCGGCCTTTTTCGTTGAAGATACTTGCAGCTCACATGGTTAGCTCTTCATTGTCCCCCACACCAATAACATCTCCAACATCTTCTATCACTTTGACTCTTTCGAAACAAAGTTGCCCCTTTTTGGAAAAAACAATTTCCCTTAAATCCCGGGTTTTTTTGGGCCACAATAGTAGCGAGGGTTTTTTTGGAGTTTTGTGTACAACCTGGCCACTCGGAGCACACACGCCATTTTTCTAATTGGCAATATCTCTTTCTTATATCCATAGAATTCCCCTTTTTTGCTTTTTGGGTTTTGGCACTAAAGCTTTCTTGGGGCCATGGTACTTTTTTTGCAATGCAATACTAAAATGCGTGAAATACGAAATTTCTGATTGTATTTTGGGATGCGACCGCGGGGCTGGCTTGAAAAACTTGGCACCCACAGAAAAAGTGAGGCGGGCTCAGGCTGCACGTGGACGGTCACGAAGAAATCGCGGGAGCTATTTTTTTTACCGTATCTAGGCAAATTTTTTGCCTTAAAATTAGCTAGGCGAATTTAACATTATGCGATCATCGTTAGGCGGGGCCCATATATGTGATTTAATCCCCAAGAGTTACATGTATTATAAAAATTGGCGTCAAAAGTAAGAGAATAGATGATTTTAATGTGTCCCTCACCCAGCTCAGTGTGTAATATAACGATAAGGTACAAAAAAGTAAAATTTTTTCGGACATGTACTATAAAATATGAAATAACTTTAAAAATTTGAAATTTTAAAAAATTTCCAGAATTAATAGAGATATGTGCTCATGGAAAACGTAAAAAAGCGGGTGGAGTGCGTCGCATTTAAAAAAAAAAAAATTTGGGGGTTTAAAATTTTGAAATCCTGTACTTTATTAAAAAACCCCAAACCCCCCGGGGGCCCTCGTACTGTTCCTATGCCCCGCGCCCCCTATCCTCACTGGGTTTTTTTGCATTTCCTCCCTATGCTCACCCATATTTTTTCAGGGCAGTGTGCAAATTTGAGACCAGCCCCTCGAGTATTTCCAGGTGTCTGGTAATTTATCAGGTATCCCCTCCGCTCCATGAGTACATGTTTAAGGTTTTAAGGCATTTTTCCCCTTAATTTAAATGCTTTACTGGGACTTGGTGCCATAAAAAAGATTTCTGACTGGACCCTCGCCCGCGAGGCACGATTAAAGTAAATCGACACGATTCATTTAAAAACGCAAAAAATTTGCCTCAACTGCGCTTAAAAACCCCGACCAGCGCTTTTTCGGGCCCCTCCTACGCGTCCACTTTGGCCCGACGCGCCTCACTTTCCCGTGGGTGCCCGTGTTTACAATTAGCCAGCCCCCGCGATCGCTTCCAAAAAATACAACTGGAACTTTCATTTTCCCGCTTTTTAGTGATTGCACCTGCAAAAAAATCACCATGGGGCCCAAGAAAGATTCTAGTGCCAACCCTCACAAAAAGGGTGGAAATTCTATGGAATGAAAAAGAATCATTTGCAATGTGGCTTAAAGTGCAAAGCTTTATGGATGATGATCACCCTGACACAGCTACGCAACCGTGTTGGGAACCTTAACCTGACAATGTTGGAACCACTTTTGGAAAATCATAAAGGAACGAGGGTAAGGCCCCCCTTTGGGGGAGATATTTGTGCGACGAAACCGTGCTCGAAGCGGCCTAGGGCATTAAAAGAACAAGGGAAAATAAACCCCCGAAAAAACTTCGCCTCAAGTGCTATGGAAGGGATTTCCCCCTTTTAAACAATAAGAAAATAACGCTCTCCCCCCCTTCCCATCAATCATCACCAGATCTAATAAAAGGAAGGCAGTAACTGTGCTGTAATCTTTAGTTTTTTTGGGATTAAAAATTTTTTTTTTCAGTGGGAAATTTTTTTTTTTTTTCAAACTTTTGGGGGTCTTGCACGATTAATTTTATTTCCCTTTTTCTTAGGGAAAATTAACTTTACTAACGTTATTTGATTAACGTGACTCTCAGGAAAGGATTTAAAAATTGTGGTTGAGGGCCACGTATTTTTTCCCGCTGCATTTCTCCCGCTTTTTAAAGGGGCCTTCAGATTCTATTCTAAATAGGGAGCACTAGCGATATGAAGAGTGTCACCATGGGTTATTTCCCTTTTGAAATTTTTCAATACCCACCCGTATCCCCGGCTGTCATGATCTTTGTCTTATTAGTTCTTTAAAAGAAAATCAGCTGACATAGTCGTTTCCCAAATCTTTTTCATGTTCCTTTTATTCAATTTGGGACCCTCTTGAATTTTGTATACAGTGTTCCTTTTGGTTCTTCATTCTTTCCAAAACCTAAACGCTGAAACTTCCCACCCTTGAATTCAAAAGTTCTCCACTGTCCCCTGGAAACCCCCTTTTGTCTTCTTACAATTTTTCGTGTTTCTACCGTAGCACTTCAGCTTTTTAAATGTCATCTGCAAATGATGCAAGTTGACAGTGTTTTTATCTATGTCCAGAGAGGAGAAAAAAGCAAGGTGCCAGTACAATCCTTTGGGGGAACTGAACTTTTTATTCACTATGCAAATTTTTGCTGTTTTCTACTACTTTTTGTGTGTAAGGAACCCGAAAATCCATCTGCCCACCTTCCCCGAAAAAACCTTGGCCCTTTATTTTGTGTGCCTTTACTCCATGATCCCATTTGTCAAACGCCTTTGCAAAATCTCTGTAAATCACAATGCCTCCATAATTCTGTCATAGTGGTTCAGCAGCTGTTTAATTTTATCATGAAGCACAAAATGAAATTTACTAATAATCTTAATTTTCAGAATATGGTAATGTTCACTGGACTGAAGGAAATCTCCTAACAATGCTAAATACTGCTAAAGAATGGCGGCTTCTCTGTCATGATAGTGCAGAGCTGGAGATGGTACTCAGTAGTGATGAGTTGTGGAAGGAAGTAGCATCAAGACTGAGTACCAGTTACAAAGTTGATCCAAATAAGTGTCTTCAACACTTTTCGCAGGTAAATACGATAGTAATTTTGTTACGAATTAGTGAAAGCAGTTTTTTTTTTACTAAAAAAGAGAAGAAGAAAAACTTTATAAAACTGGGTTGCTTAAATGTGCGTGGATGTAGTGCGGATGACAAGAAACAGATGATTGCTGATGTTATGAATGAAAAGAAGTTGGATGTCCTGGCCCTAAGCGAAACAAAGCTGAAGGGGGTAGGAGAGTTTCAGTGGGGGGAAATAAATGGGATTAAATATGGAGTATCTGAGAGAGTTAGAGCAAAGGAAGGGGTAGCAGTAATGTTAGATGATCAGTTATGGAAGGAGAAAAGAGAATATGAATGTGTAAATTCAAGAATTATGTGGATTAAAGTAAAGGTTGGATGCGAGAAGTGGGTCATAATAAGCGTGTATGCACCTGGAGAAGAGAGGAATGCAGAGGAGAGAGAGAGATTTTGGGAGATGTTAAGTGAATGTATAGGAGCCTTTGAACCAAGTGAGAGAGTAATTGTGGTAGGGGACTTGAATGCTAAAGTAGGAGAAACTTTTAGAGAGGGTGTGGTAGGTAAGTTTTGGGTGCCAGGTGTAAATGATAATGGGAGCCCTTTGATTGAACTTTGTATAGAAAGGGGTTTAGTTATAGGTAATACATATTTTAAGAAAAAGGGGATAAATAAGTATACACGATATGATGTAGGGCGAAATGACAGTAGTTTGTTGGATTATGTTTTGGTAGATAAAAGACTGTTGAGTAGACTTCAGGATGTACATGTTTATAGAGGGGCCACAGATATATCAGATCACTTTCTAGTTGTAGCTACACTGAGAGTAAAAGGTAGATGGGATACAAGGAGAATAGAAGCATCAGGGAAGAGAGAGGTGAAGGTTTATAAACTAAAAGAGGAGGCAGTTAGGGTAAGATATAAACAGCTATTGGAGGATAGATGGGCTAATGAGAGCATAGGCAATGGGGTCGAAGAGGTATGGGGTAGGTTTAAAAATGTAGTGTTAGAGTGTTCAGCAGAAGTTTGTGGTTACAGGAAAGTGGGGTGCAGGAGGGAAGAGGAGCGATTGGTGGAATGATGATGTAAGGAGAGTAGTAAGGGAGAAAAAGTTAGCATATGAGAAGTTTTTACAAAGTAGAAGTGATGCAAGGAGGGAAGAGTATATGGAGAAAAAGAGAGAGGTTAAGAGAGTGGTGAAGCAATGTAAAAAGAGAGCAAATGAGAGAGTGGGTGAGATGTTATCAACAAATTTTGTTGAAAATAAGAAAAAGTTTTGGAGTGAGATTAACAAGTTAAGAAGCCTAGAGAACAAATTGATTTGTCAGTTTAAAATAGGAGAGGAGAGTTATTAAATGGAGAGTTAGAGGTATTGGGAAGATGGAAGGAATATTTTGAGGAATTGTTAAATGTTGATGAAGATAGGGAAGCTGTGATTTCGTGTATAGGCAAGGAGGAATAACATCTTGTAGGAGTGAGGAAGAGCCAGTTGTGAGTGTGGGGGAAGTTCGTGAGGCAGTAGGTAAAATGAAAGGGGGTAAGGCAGCCGGGATTGATGGGATAAAGATAGAAATGTTAAAAGCAGGTGGGGATATAGTTTTGGAGTGGTTGGTGCAATTATTTAATAAATGTATGGAAGAGGGTAAGGTACCTAGGGATTGGCAGAGAGCATGCATAGTTCCTTTGTATAAAGGCAAAGGGGATAAAAGAGAGTGCAAAAATTATAGGGGGAGAAGTCTGTTGAGTGTACCTGGTAAAGTGTATGGTAGAGTTATAATTGAAAGAATTAAGAGTAAGACGGAGAATAGGATAGCAGATGAACAAGGAGGCTTTAGGAAAGGTAGGGGGTGTGTGGACCAGGTGTTTACAGTGAAACATATAAGTGAACAGTATTTAGATAAGGCTAAAGAGGTCTTTGTGGCATTTATGGATTTGGAAAAGGCGTATGACAGGGTGGATAGGGGGGCAATGTGGCAGATGTTGCAAGTGTATGGTGTAGGAGGTAGGTTACTGAAAGCAGTGAAGAGTTTTTACGAGGATAGTGAGGCTCAAGTTAGAGTATGTAGGAAAGAGGGAAATTTTTTCCCAGTAAAAGTAGGCCTTAGACAAGGATGTGTGATGTCACCGTGGTTGTTTAATATATTTATAGATGGGTTGTAAGAGAAGTAAATGCGAGGGTCTTGGCAAGAGGCGTGGAGTTAAAAGATAAAGAATCACACACAAAGGGGGAGTTGTCACAGCTGCTCTTTGCTGATGACACTGTGCTCTTGGGAGATTCTGAAGAGAAGTTGCAGAGATTGGTGGATGAATTTGGTAGGGTGTGCAAAAGAAGAAAATTAAAGGTGAATACAGGAAAGAGTAAGGTTATGAGGATAACAAAAAGATTAGGTGATGAAAGATTGAATATCAGATTGGAGGGAGAGAGTATGGAGGAGGTGAACGTATTCAGATATTTGGGAGTGGACGTGTCAGCGGATGGGTCTATGAAAGATGAGGTGAATCATAGAATTGATGAGGGAAAAAGAGTGAGTGGTGCACTTAGGAGTCTGTGGAGACAAAGAACTTTGTCCTTGGAGGCAAAGAGGGGAATGTATGAGAGTATAGTTTTACCAACGCTCTTATATGGGTGTGAAGCGTGGTGATGAATGTTGCAGCGAGGAGAAGGCTGGAGGCAGTGGAGATGTCATGTCTGAGGGCAATGTGTGGTGTGAATATAATGCAGAGAATTCGTAGTTTGGAAGTTAGGAGGAGGTGCGGGATTACCAAAACTGTTGTCCAGAGGGCTGAGGAAGGGTTGTTGAGGTGGTTCGGACATGTAGAGAGAATGGAGCGAAACAGAATGACTTCAAGAGTGTATCAGTCTGTAGTGGAAGGAAGGCGGGGTAGGGGTCGGCCTAGGAAGGGTTGGAGGGAGGGGGTAAAGGAGGTTTTGTGTGCGAGGGGCTTGGACTTCCAGCAGGCATGCGTGAGCGTGTTTGATAGGAGTGAATGGAGACAAATGGTTTTTAATACTTGACGTGCTGTTGGAGTGTGAGCAAAGTAACATTTATGAAGGGATTCAGGGAAACCGGCAGGCCGGACTTGAGTTCTGGAGATGGGAAGTACAGTGCCTGCACTCTGAAGGAGGGGTGTTAATGTTGCAGTTTAAAAACTGTAGTGTAAAGCACCCTTCTGGCAAGACAGTGATGGAGTGAATGATGGTGAAAGTTTTTCTTTTTCGGGCCACCCTGCCTTGGTGGGAATCGGCCGGTGTGATGATAAAAAAAAATAATAGTTTTTTTTTTTTTTAAATTAATGGTTCTCCTTTATACTGTATTAACTATTTGGCTGTGCAGTTATATTTTTTCTATCTTTATCCAGTGTACATAAAATGCTGTTGTATTTGTGATATACTTATTAGTAAATTATTCTGTGATATTCATTTTGTTAACCCCTTCACTGTCGGTGCCGTAATATTATGGCTTACAAGCCAGTGTCAGTGCCATAATATTACGCCAAAATTCTAGCGGCTTCAAATCTTGCAGGAGAAAGCTGGTAGGCCTACGTACGAGAGAATGGGTCTGAGTGGTCAGTATGCACTGTATTAAAAAAATCCTGCAGCACGCAGTGCATAATGAGAAAAAAAAACTGACCCTGTTTTTGGTTTAAAACACCGACTTTGCAGTACATTTTCGTATAGTATTTATGGTTGTATTCTCGTTTTTATGGTCTCATTTGATAAGTACCTTGAAATTGGTCTCAAAGTAGCTGAAATATTAAATTTTTGTGGATGTTCAAGAGTAAACAAATACGTCATACATCCTATACATGTAAACTGGTGGGTCTAATGTGCTTTCACAAATGCGCTGATATTGGTTATGCAATTTTTACAATAATGCAGTAGTCTGCATAACAGTAAGTCTTCTATGTTTTGTGTGAATTAAAATACAAAATGGAAAGCAAGTGTAATATAAGATGGGCTAATGAAGAGAGAAAATGTTATTTTAGTGCTAGGAATATTTGTATTGTTAATTCTGAACCCTGTTTTAAAATTGGCCTTGAATTGTGTATGAAATTGGTCAAATTACCAATTTCTTATAACTTTATTGGGCAGTTTCTTAAGAACATAAGAAAGGAGGATCACTGCAGCAGGCCTGTTGGCCCATACTCGGCAGGTCCTTTACAATCCATCCCACTAACAAAACATTTGCCCATCCCAATTTTCATTGCTCCCCAAGAAATAAGGTCTGATAATTCTATCCACTCATTTGCAAGTCCCACTCAAATCCAACCCCTCCCACTCATATATTTATTCAACCTAAATTTGAAGCTACCTAAAGTCCTAGCCTCAATAACCCAACTAGGTAGACTGCTCCACTCATCAACTACCCTATTTCCAAACCAATACTTTCCTATGTCCTTTCTAAATCTAAACTTGTCTAATTTAAATCCAATACTGCAGGTTCTCTCTTGGAGAGATATCCTCAAGACCTTATTAATATCCCCTTTGTTGTAATAAAGTTGGTAGAATTACCGACAATAGATAAAATAAAAGGACACAAGTGCAACTAATGTGACATTTTATTGTGGCAATGTTTTGCTCCTGGAGAGCAAAACGTTACCACAATAAAATGTCACATTAGTTGCACTTGTGTCCTTTAACTTTACATCCCCTTTGTTGAATTAGACACATGTGCAACTCTTGGGTATCTTTATTGAGGAAACGTTTCGCCACACAGTGGCTTCATCAGTCCATAAAAAGGAGAAACTTGAAGAAAAGGAGGAGAATGAGGTAATCAGTCCCTCAGCCTTGAGTCGATGTGGTCAGTCCATCAATCTTGAATAGAATACGGCATATGAGCGGAGAAGCAGCTTGTAAACCGTACACAGGTGAGGGGCAGCAGTCGTAGGTGGTGTCACATTTGTCCAATGTGGAAGTAGGTCGTGCCCAAGGGTTAGGCAAGTGAAGAATTCCCAAGTACTAAGATCCCAAGAAGTTGCAGTGTCTGACAGGATTGTAGATGAATGGTTCAG